ATATATATATATATATATATATATATATATATATATATATATATATATATCAGTACCCACCGATGTTTTTTTTTATTTCTTAAATATGTTTCTTCTCACTATCGATGCTAACTCCAAGAAATTCGATGCTGAATTACACTAGCCTTCTGATATTTTATATGCGCGAAAAAAACCGAGTGTTAAATTATGCACCAGTTCCCTGATAACGTTATATGTTTAACGTAATCTGAATTGACTTTCTTGGAAGGCACTTTGCTCGACCGAGCAGATCCCAGCGCGCTCAACTCGTATGGGACATTCAATGATCGACTGCGAACGATCGGTAATTCGAACGATGCACGCGCGCGATTCGTGCGAAACGCGTCGATGACTTTCACGACCACGTCGTCGTCGTTCGTTTCGCCTTCTGGTGGAGCGCGTCTGAACTCTGGGGAAAAGAGAGATAGCCATCGATATCATGCACCACTTTCATTCCTCGAGGACAAAGGGAAACGTGCCGCGAAGGGGATGGGATTATGACCGATGAAATACCGTATTAAGGGTCCCGGTACACTGCCGATCCTAGAAACGGGCGCACCTGCCACTCGTCCGACCTCAATCCGGGACTCTTCTGGCAGCCGAACGTCGGAGAAGAGAATGGAATTGTTTCTTTCGTTCTCTGGTCTCCGTCTCTCCATCCCCTCGCGCCCCGTGATACGCATTGGTCACGAATTTCATCTCTCGGGAGAGTAGACAAGCGTATCCGATAGCCGCTTATTGGATTTAGCGAGGAAGTAGTATCTCCCTCCTCCGTATGAGACGGCGAGAGGGGTGGATCTTCGTTAAGGAGATTACCCGGACGGATAGCGCGGAACGGTCGCTTCGGCAGGACAGTTCGATGGACGTTAATGTGCATCAGAAATGTACATTAAATCAAATGCATAATTTAATTAAGCGATACCCAACGCGAGAGATCGAAATGACTCAGCGATGGGAGATCAAATTGACGAGAAAAGGGCTGCCTTACGAAGAGGGGGAGGAGTGCGCACCTCGTCGCGAGTTATTTCAGTCTTTCGTCGACGTGCGATAGCAACACGACCAAGTGTCGTTCTGGAGTGTAGAAAAGATTTCCTTCTGTCGCTTCCGCTCACTTTTCCCGTCAGAACTTGCATTACTCCCGACCGGCAACTTGCTTCCAACATTTCGTACCGAGGCGGACTGTTGTTTATCCTCGCTTCGCGACAACATCCCACGATCTATCCGCCGTACAAAAAGCACCGTTGATCGATGGAGGACGTTTGAAGGTTGCAGCAGTTTATACGCCGATTATATCATAGTTCTAGGAAACGCAGCTTGCCTTTGTCCCCCTACGGCACGTGTCCCCATTGTCGTCAATGACGAAAGGACTAACGTACCAGCTGCGCCCAAAATGCTGGGGTAGTAAAATAGTGCACCCAGATCCTGCCAGTACGTTAACAAGACAAAGAAGCGAACGGAGCGCCGCTAAATCATCGTTGCGCATTACGACTTGTATAATAGTTGCACACAACAACAGGTTGATGCGCTCTTAAGGTCATTCTACATTTGTCGCAAATCGCAAGGTTGTAAGAAAATTGACCAATCATAATCGACTATCCTTCAATTGCAAAAGAAATAATCGGCTGTGATTAGTCAATTTTCTTGCGACCTTGAGATTTGCAACTAATGTAGAACGATCCTTACAGAACACGTTGATGAATTTCGCGTCGTGTGTTTTAATACAAATGACACAACGAATTTTAAACGATCTATTGACATCTTGAGAAAAAAATTGTTTTCAAATAAATATTCTCTGCGTTTTGACACGTCGAAATTCCCCGCTAATTGCATGCATGTACATGTAGATATATGAAAAATTTTTTTTTTATGAAAAATACACAAAAACAGTCGGAACGAGATTCAAAGGAATTTGAAATCGTCATTAAATAAGCACGACAACCGACGTACATTTGCGCGACACGTGTGAGGCTGTTGTTGACTTTCAAGCAAGAAATGTTTCCGATATGCATATGTATATACATGGAACAGCCACTGTACATAATGGTTTTAAATTATTACTTGCAAAAATGAATTCGAATGCGAATATCGATGAATTTATTTTTAACTCGAAAATTTTCGAACAAAATCAAAAAATGTTAACGCAATTGTGTTTCGTGCACAATTGTAAATAACACTTGGACATTGATGCTAGTGGTCTGATTTAAATGGCAAATAGCAGCGCGGAATAATAAAGATAACCGTGGCTGCATATTCTATTTAGCTATCGTAACGAAAAAATACACATATAGTCGTAAACAATACACGTGTTTAGAGTTATAAACGTATGCTAGTAAAAAAAGGGGAAAGGGAATGATTGTTTCAACAGTATGAACACTTTTCGATGCTTGCATGCTAATAACAGCCTTTTGCGACACGCTATCGTAAATAATATCAGAAACAGATAAGACACAATTTCGCTACGCTCTACTCGCCGTTTCCAGCAAATTAGAAAAAACAAAAGAAACTAAAAAATATAGAACGAAATGCTACGTTTGTATTAGCAATATTATCGAAAATATTCCAGACATATGTTTATATTAATTATATTCGAGACATATGTTTATATTAATTAACGTCGTGTCTTTGCGACACAACATGGCTTTAAAAAAGTCTGGAGTTGCGTTTAACTTTCATAATAATCGGCACGCGTTTCACTTAGGTTTCGACGAGACAGGAAAACAAGAGCAGTTTTTAAGAGAGACAAAATAACAACACAAGAGATGGTACGCCGCGCAGTGACTCTTTCCACGCACGAGTTTTATGCTAATGCGCGTGTGAGCGTCGCACACTTGTGACAACTGCAATAGAAAGCCAAAGTTTTGATTTCTATTGTCGCATCACTACGTATGAAAACGCAAACATTCGCGGAAATAGCAACACGCGCGACGAATTTTCGTATAAAAGAGGCATCCGACTAGCAACCAGCATCAATCTCGAAACGTTCAGCAAGCAATTAGCAGCAAACGACAAGAGAAACTCATTTCAACATGTCTCGCAATATGTTAGTACTCTTCCTTTTCGTGGCGATCGTCGCTAGTAAGTATATATTTATATCTATGTTTATATCAAGATATATATAATATTTATATCTTGTATATTTATCTTGTATATGCAACATTCCGCTGTATCTGCACAAGAAACGTGTTCTCTGATAAATTTTTCTGAAAAACAAACGAAAAATTCTCGGATTCATTTAATTTCAACTACCACATAACTCGCTAACTGTAATTTCGCTTCAAGCTTTCAAACACGTCTAAATATTCAAAAAAGTGCAAAAAGAAGAATGCTAAATTGTTCTCTTTCTTTCGCAGCTGTCATGAGCAATAAAAAAGTTAAACCAGTTGATAAAGTGCCAATAAAGTGCGGTAAGAACGAGGTGTTCAATAAGTGCGGACCTGTCATTCAACCGAGCTGCGACAATCTTAAACCCAAGAACTGTGAGAAAGTGAGTACCTAGAACCTTATCATATATGAGATATCACTTCCCTCCTTAAATATTGAAAAAGCTCCGGGAGAAAGAGAAAAATCTATAATTTTTTGGTTACGCCTGAAGAAACTTGCTCAAAATGAAAGTGAAGTGTGTCAGCGCCTAACCAACTCTGTCCCTACTTCCATTTCTCTTTCCAGAAATGCGTCAAGGGTTGCTTCTGCATAGAAGGTATGGTGAGAAACGCGAAAAATGAATGCATCCGTCCTTGCGAATGCGATTGCTAATCAGGATATCCACGATGAAGAAACGCGCTTGCTATCACGGCCCGTAAAAGCTTCTATACTTGTGCAATTATCCCCAAATATCTCTATATAAAACATATGTAGTCACGTGATTCGATAATAAATACTGCATTCCGGAAAATTACACGAACTGACTCAATTCCCTCTTCTCCCGCCCCCCGGTGCTTGTCAAATGATTTCGCATCCATCGCTTCAATGGCATCGTTTTCAATAGCCAGGAAGGACCAACGACTCGAGTCCCAACTTCGGCCAACCGGGCAAGAACGTTCGACGAAGTTCACCCCTTATCGTATTTATGAGACACCATACGACCGTGATCCGACGAGGGGTAAATCAACGTGGCCGTGTGCTGACGTATTCGCTCGCGTTACCGACGTGACCCGCACACGCTCGAAAAATCGTCTGTAGGCTCACGTCGCACGCTCCTCAAACGAGAAAATCCGGCCGTCCTAGGATCCCTTTGAACCTGTCGATTCTACCGTGGGGGAGGGAGAGAGCAAGCGAGTGAACGCCGCGCTTCCTATTCTCGCACCCTCGTCGTAGCTCCACCTCGACACCGTCGACGATTGCCGTCCCTGTCTCTCTCTCTCTCTCTCTCTCTCTCTCTCTCTCTCTCTCTCT